CAGCCTCCAGTACTGCATTCTAACCACTGCACCACCGTGGCTTTACTTGATTTCTAAAGAAAATGTCTAGTGAATAATACCAGAACACTTAACCAAAAGGTATTTGGAAGAGATTCATGAAAACAGAGTGAGAGTCAAAAGTCTATTTAAAACTTGTCTGCCGTTTATGAAATAATGATTTTGAAGCTTTCTGCATGATTTGCCTTATTATGGTTGATAGAAACATTTTAATTAAAATCCTTATTGAATTCTTGAAAGAATGAACGTTAGTGCATAAGTTGCTTTAGATGCAGATAAAACAAATGGTACTTTGAACTGTACTGAATGATACATAATAATTTTAATGCCTGGGAGTGGCTAAGGGAATTATATTGAGAAATATCAAATAATGGTTTTCAGTAATGTATAATTTAATCTGTTTTGGAAAAAGTATTTTCCAAAGAATGCAACAATATGTGATACTATGGCAGAGAGTTTGTGAGGTCTTTGAACAATATTTTGTATTGGTCATATAGTAATGAATTCATTAGTAAACTAGTCACAATGAATAAGTATAAAATATGGATTTCCTCTTATAATTTTTCTTATATTTTTCTTTTCTTTCTTATTTTGTATTTTTGTTTTGTTTTTAAGATTAAATATTATCTTGTTAATTATATTTGAACTGAATAAATAAATCCAATGCAATGTCATCGTTTTTATAATGAAAGAACCATAATGTTAACTGACTTGATATAACTACTATAATTTAAACTAGCCGGTCATTGCTCTCTGGCAACTATATTTAGTTATCAAAAGAGATGTCAGGTTTTGTATATGAAATGTTGAACACCACATTATCCATTAATTTAAGATCTCTTCTTGTATATAGGCAGAAGATGGGAACATAGAATACAAGGTGAGTCTCTCATGCAAGCCATTTAAGAGTTCTAAGCCAAATGATTCTATAAGTTCCATGTCTAGGAAGAGAGAGAGAGATAAATAACAGAAAAATAAAAATGATTTTTGCCAAAACATTATTTATATATGTGTTGGCTATTTCACACTTGAATACTGAACCTGGGTATTATTAAGTTTATACCAAAAAATACCCTTTTATTATTTTAGAATGCCTTTGAAAAATTGTTAGTCTTCTGACCCACTGAACTTTCTTTGCTTAATTTGATGGGGCTTAACAAATGTTAGAACATTGTGAAGAAAATACTGTAAAAAATATTCAACCCCATCAGTCCTTCTTGGATGCTGATTATAATTACTTCTTTCTTTGGACAGCTGAAGTTAGTTAATCCATCTCAGTACCGCTTTGAACATCTAGTAACGCAAATGAAGTGGCGACTACAAGAAGGCCGTGGTGAGGCTGTGTACCAGATTGGTGTAGAGGACAACGGGCTGCTTGTTGGACTGTCTGAAGAAGAAATGCACGCCTCTCTTAAAACACTACGGCGGATGGCCGAGAAGTATGTGCATCTGTCCTGCTTCTTGGCCAGAGTTAGCCAATGGTGTGCTCTGTTATTTTGCTGTCTTAGGTAGACTTAATATTGGAAAGTCAGCTAATAGCCAACAGAGAAGATGGTTTCAGCAAGAGACTTTTCTCAGAGTACCACCACATCGGTGCAGTACCTACTAATTGTTTCAGTTGTAAAAAGTTAGTGTGTGGCTATGCATATTTTATTATGTGCCATTACACTGAACTGGGATTGGGCAACCTTTTGATGGGCAAAGGCCATATGTCGTATTTGGGAGGAGGGGTGGGGAACTGTAAATGAGCAGGGTCACTAAAAATATAAAGGTAGGACAGAGTTTGGTGTTTGATAATTTTTTGACAAAGATTGTGTCTGTAGTTTTCGTGAGTTTCTCCTGTCAAGATGACAAGTTATGTTATCAACAATCATGACCATGGGTGTTGTGAGTGTCAAAAAGGGAAGGTTAGGGCTGAAGTGTCCCCATTCATTCATTGGGGAGTGGGGGTGCTAGCTCATGTTGGAAAGAGATCCATTCCTAACATGTTTCTAGTGAACACAGAAAAACAATTAGCATTTACCTCAATTAGATTTAGCAATAATGACAGATATATGTAGCTTTACTATAGCTGTCATCCCTCCCGCCCTCCCCCGCTTCAGCCTCATTTAGATAAAGTTTTATCTCACCCTGTCCTGCTGTGAGAAACATGTAATTAGTGGAACATTTGTCATATCTGGGGATCTAAATAAAGCCAAATTATTACTGATCTTAAAATGAGGAAACTCGTTTGACATCTGTGCAAATATATTTCAGGGGATTGGTACCTCCCAAAACTGGCAAAGATGCACATTCATGTGGATAAAAATCAGATCATTTGGAAAACACACACATTTTCCTCCATATTGCTTAATTGTGAGAGGCTTTTCTGAGCAGCATTATCAGATAACCAGGTATTTGTCCTATGGTGGATTGCAGATGATTCACTAACCCCCAACAGTGTTCTGTTTTGCCCTTTGCAGAGTAGGAGCTGACATTACTGTGCTTCGAGAAAGAGAAGTGGATTATGACAGTGACATTCCCAGGAAGATAACAGAAGTTCTTGTCCGAAAGGTCCCAGATAACCAACAGGTAAAAATCAACCTGATTTAAACATCATGAGTGAAAAACTATAGATATTTCATTATAGATTGCTATGTTCATTTAGATTTTGAAGAACTATAATTGATAGGAGTGACTTGATAGAAAACGTTAAACTTTGAAACCCAATGTCTTACCTTGTGTATATTTTATAATGCAAAGTAGTAAATTCCAAATGCTAGGGAATTAGTTGTTGTAAATACCTCAGAATTATCAATCCAATTTCATTGTATTTAAGTACAATGACAATAAAGATTATACTTATAATTATACAAACTTTGTGAGTTAGGTACCCTAATGCATTAATCAAGTCTAACTTGTACTTATCAGATAATCTTTTTAACAATTTAAAATAGCTCCTCAATTTTCTTTTAAGTTTCTAGATCTGCGAGTGGCTGTGCTTGGAAATGTGGATTCAGGCAAATCAACCTTATTAGGCGTCTTGACGCAAGGAGAACTGGATAATGGGCGAGGCCGAGCTCGACTCAATCTCTTCCGGCACTTGCATGAGATCCAGTCAGGAAGAACATCTAGCATTAGCTTTGAAATTCTTGGTTTCAACAGTAAGGGAGAGGTACGAGTATTTTTACACCGAGTTTATCATTTTCTAGCTCTGGATATGAATTTTTGTTTGGCCTTTTATAAGAGCTCAGTTACCTGCATTTTCTGCCTTTTAGGTGGTGAACTACAGTGATTCACGGACAGCTGAAGAAATCTGCGAGAGCTCTTCCAAAATGATTACCTTCATTGATTTAGCTGGCCATCACAAATATTTAAAAACCACCATTTTTGGGCTTACAAGCTATTGTCCAGATTTTGCAATGCTGGTGGTGAGTGCCAATACTGGAATTGGTAAGTGGATGGTCAGATTTCTCCTTGGGGCTCCAGAAGGGTGACATAATGCCTCTAGTTAACCAGTGGGTGCCAGTAGTTTAAAACAAGACTCATCCACCGTAACATAGAAATGCTTCCATTAGTTTCAAACACATGGCATTGAATTGTGTGTTTTAGCTACACTGAAGACCTACCTTTTTCATTTGATTTTCTCTGTCTTCTATTTCTTACAGCTGGTACGACACGGGAGCATCTCGGCTTGGCGATGGCCCTTAAGGTGCCTTTCTTCATTGTCATTAGCAAAGTGGACTTGTGCTCAAAGGCCACTGTGGAGCGAACAGTGAAACAGCTGGAGCGGATTCTGAAGCAGCCTGGCTGCAACAAACTACCATTGCTAGTAACCTCCGATGATGATGCAGTTACAGCAGCGCAGCAGTTTGCACAATCTCCCAAGTACGTATCACGGGCTGTTTGAATGGGAGGGAAGACGATTAGTGAGTATGGATGCAGTTTAAAACTTAACACACCTTCAAAAGGATGCATTCAGCAAAAAAGGTGTGTGTGTGAGTCGGGTTTGTGGCACCGGCAGTGGTTTATTTCAAAGAACAATAAGCAAAGTTCAAGTGATTATACTCTTTGGTTTTATGTCTCCACTCTCTGCTTGAATGGGCTGTTTTGATTTTATAGTATGCATAGCTTACACATAGTAAATGGATAGTCTGCAGAAATGACTTATGGAACTGGAGGAGAACAGGTGATGAAACGAGTGCTCTGCCATTGTGATGCAAGCTCCACCACCTTTATATTGTGATATTGCACACAAGTATGAAAGAAAAGACATTTCTGTCACACTGTCTCAAGAATTGCTTCATTGTTTTGAGAAAACATTGGGTACTTCAGATGCCTTTGATCATCTGCAGCTACACTGCATTGTTAGAATTGGAACAGTTACGGGCATATGTGATTGACTTAACAATCACAACTAAGCCTGGAATTTTAAGTTGAGTCACCACCTGACCTGATTCAATTTTATGACCCTTTTTATGAGGGTTGTTAAGTGAGTTACATGGTCATAAGTCTGAATCCGGCTTATCCAATCGGTAGGTTTGCTGGAAAATGGTAAAAAGATTGTAAAATGCAGGATCCTTCGGTCAGTCAAAAATGCAGGCCAGTTGCCAAACATCTGAAATGTGAACGAAGTGCAGCTGTTGTAACTTTGAAGACAGATAGCAATTGACCTTAAGTCCATCTTAACTGGTCCTTAAGTGACCAGTTGTAAGTCAAGGACTATCCTGTACCAAGTTTTGATTCTGTAAAAATTATAGGATGCAGAAATTGTTGTTCCCTAATTATTTACACATTCCCCTGACACAGGTGGAAGCCAATCTCATTCCTATTATATTCAGTACTAATAGAGATGTACAAAGTCATGGATCAACAGCTTCTTTCATTCATTTTTTTGTAGTATCACTCCCATCTTCACCTTGTCCAGTGTTTCTGGAGAGAACCTGGATCTCCTGAGAGTATTTCTCAATATCCTTCCTCCTCTGACAAACAGCAAAGAACAGGAAGAGCTGATGCAACAACTCACTGAATTCCAGGTACACAACAGTCTCTTCTCAGTTGAGAGTCTCCAGCCATAGTATGCGAAGGCAGGGTATTCTTTGATCCATGGATTTAGAGTTGGGAGGAGATAAAAACCAAGTAATTGTAATTACTTTCTGATTCAAAGTCAAATTAACACTATTTATTAGTTAGCAATAGCACTTGGGCTTATATACCCTTCATAGTGCTTGGTTTACAGTGGTTTACAATGTCAGCATATTGCCCCCAAGAGTCCTCATTTTACCCATCTCAGAAAAATGGAAGGCCGAGTTAGCCGTGAGCTGGTAAGGATCGAACTCCTGGCAGTGAGCAGAATCAGCCTGCAATAGTGCATTCTAACCACCGTATTTCTTCCTCCTCCTTTATTTGTCTTTACCATTCTTCATTTAATCTCATTGTTGATGTCCTACCAATCACTGAATTGACTCCATGGTTATTTGTTTGATGAGTTTTACCCAGGGGTGGGCTTCAAAAATTTCAGCAATGGGTTGGTTCTCTGCCTGGTTGCTGGGTGGGCGTGGCCTAGTCAGCCTCCTGCACCATGGGGGGGGGGGCATTTTCACCTTCCCCAGGCTACGGAGGCTTTCCTTGAGCCTCTGGGAAGGCAAAAGTGGCCTCCTCTGGGACTATTTCCGGCCTTCCAGAACTACCAGGAAGCCTGTTTTTCCCCTTCCCCGTGCCTCCATGGGGCCCTGCACTTACCTCGCATCCAAAATAGGCAGTGTGGAGACTCCTGGGAGGGGTAGGGTGGGAGGGGCCAGCCAAGGGTGGGATTTGAAGGTTCTCCAAACTGGCCATAACATTAGCTACGGGTTCTCCCGAACCCAGGTGAGCGTGTAGTAGCCCACCCCTGGTTTCACCTAGGACAGTGGTGGCTAACCTTTTTATTCTTGTGTGCCAAAAGCATGCCCACGCCCATAACGCAATGTGCACGCTACACCCCCATGTGCCCCGCCCCCTATGCATGCATGTGCGACACACACACACCAGCGTGGGCCGTTTTGGGCCTAGCAGGCCTCCCTAAAGCCTCCTGGGACTAAAAATGGGGTACAGGGGGGGCATGCATGCATGGCAGAGACCCAAAAATCAACTGGCCAGCAGGAGGCACACACGCATGCATGGTGGTGCTGAGCTGGGGCAATGGCTCGTATGCCCACAGAGAGGCCTTCACGTGCCACCTGTGGCACGCGTGCCATAGGTTTGCCATCACAAACCTAGGAGATGTTTGCAGAATATAATTGGTTCACTGAGAACTGGGATGCTTGAAGCTTGTAACTGGTTTAAGGAAGACAACATTCAAGGATAGGCTTAGAATTCCTATACAAGAACTTGTTTTGTTATGTCTAACAATAAAAAGGTCAAATTGTTAAGTCTAGCTTTGAAATACTACAGTCCAGCACGACATATTTGATGTTCTTTCTCTGCTACAGGTGGATGAAATTTACACTGTGCCAGAGGTAGGCACAGTTGTTGGAGGAACGTTGTCAAGGTTGGTACATATGGATTTTGTAACGAAAAGCCAGGAATGGGTAGGGAGTGGTGTCAAAGACTGCTTTGATCCAGAAGAAGGACCAGGAAATAGCATTTATTCTCCTTTTCTTGTTATAAATAAATGTACTAAATGTAGGTAAAAGTTTATATCTTACTGAATGAGCCAAGGAAGATAAAACTGCACTCCAATAAAAAAATAAAAAGTATTCCCTAAAGGAATCCTATGTTCTTTGAACACATAGCATAAATATTTATTCTGTGGAATATCAGATCCAAATGTTCTCTTTCATAATTTTTCATATTTTCAGAACAAAGAACCTGCATTAAGATAATTATCTCAATTAGGCACAAAAGGCGGCTTTTCTTGCCTTCTGACAGCTAAATGCGGTCTTTTTCATTTCATGCCCTTTCTAGTGGGATATGCAAAGAGGGGGAGAATTTGGTTGTTGGTCCAACAGATGATGGCAAGTTCCTTCAACTGAAAGTATGCAGTATCCAACGAAATCGTTCAGCATGTCGCGTTCTTCGAGCTGGGCAGGCTGCCACCTTAGCTCTTGGATCCTTTGATCGCTCACTGCTGCGCAAAGTAAGCTCTTCCTTAATCCCTCTCTGGAGTCTTTGGTTGTACAAACTTTTTCCTCTGTATCTTTTCTGAAAACAAAGTATCCTGTCTTACAGATATTGGGAAATATAGGTCCTTATCGGAACACTGCCATTCTGGAGTAGGGGGGTGGCACCGAGGGTGGAATAGTTTCAGGAGTGAAATCCAGCAGGTTCTGACAGGTTCTGGGAAACTTTGAAATTTTGAATAGTTCGGAGAACCGGCAAATGCCACCTCTAAATGGCCCCAGAGTGGGGTGGGAATGGAGATTTTGCAGTATCTTTCCCCTGGAATGGGGTGGAATGGAGATTTTGCAATATCCTTTCCCTACCACGCCCACCAAGCCACGCCCACCAAGCCACGCTTAGAACCGGTAGTAAAAAAATTGAATTTCACCACTGAATAGTTTGCATGCGTTCGCTTTGTTGTAACTGGGAATTGAGGGGGGAGAAATTGCCATCTGCACTGACTCCCTCACTGTCAGTTCCAGCTAGATTTTCAATGTCATGGTGCCCAGAGGACAACCTCTTCTCACCATCCAGCCCCGGAGATTCTCACAACACCCTTCCCGCAGCTTATTGCTTACTGATGAACATGGGACATTGGGGGGTGGGGGTTGAGGGGGAAATTGAGCCTAAGACTTCGCGCCTGAATTCAGACTCCTCCTGACTTCTCTGTAATCATTATCGCTCAGTAAATGTCCCTCTTGAAATGTAAACTGTTTCAAGAGTTTTACTTTCTTGGGAAGGTAGCTCAGGCAGGTCTTTACAATAGCAGGCTGGGTTCCTCTGGGCCATCTGCTTTTTGAAGACATTCCAAAATGCTATAGATATTAAATTCTTTGCAGTTTATGTTTTAAAATTTAAGTTCAAGAGATGAGAAAACTGGGAACTATAGCATTAAGGTGATAGCCTTGAGTTTCAAAAGAACAAAGAAGTAATTAGATTGAACTCTTAAGCAGGATTAGTCAGCTGTTAGATGTTTCCCACTCATCTCTGCTTGCCATCCATATTCTTATCTCCCCTTCTTTCTTTGGCTTTTGGGGCAATAAATGAGGATTTCTTTCTGGAAAGATTGTAATCTGTAGTGCTTCAGTTTTGAAGAGTTGAGTGAGTACCATTGTCAAGAAAATTCAGTTACCCAATCTTGCTGTCATTTAGGGCATGGTGATGGTCAGCCCAGAGATGAACCCAACTATCTGTTCAGTATTTGAAGCTGAAATTGTTCTACTGTTCCATGCCACAACTTTCCGGAAAGGATTCCAAGTAACAGCACATGTTGGAAATGTACGGCAAACAGCAATTGTGGAAAACATCCATGGGAAGGTAAGTTTCCCTTTTCTTGCTAAATAGAAATTTGCTTGATTGTCCTCTCACTTGTGTCACATTCACTTTAAGCCTTATCCTTGAGATGCCCCTTGTGTCAGGTCCGGCTGCAAGCCCCACTCGAGCACCAGTTCTTTGGGGCGGGCACCCAGCTAACACTCCTTCTCTGCAGCTTCTTCCGCTTCCACCATGGCTTGGGAAGGGGTGTAGATGCTCAACATAAATCACTGAACCATCTTCTGTGGCTCCCTCCATGGTTTTCCTGTCTTCCTCCATCTTCCCTGAGTCTTCGCGTCGCCCGGTTTTGGGTTGACGCTTGGGGCTCAGACAGCATCCCGCAATTCGGGGGAGCTGGTTGAGTTTTAAAAGATATTTTGGTTAATGTCAGGGTTCCAAGTAACAACCCCAATGAAAGAAGACTCCGAGGGTTGAGTTTCCTCAAACTTCCATTTTATTAGAGATGTCATATTGGCACATCTGGAAAACCCGAATCTGAAAGCTTCCAGGTTTTCCCCACCCAAGTGAAAGTTCAAGTCCCTTCCCCGCACCCACAAGTCCATCACATGGTCCAATCAGGCACTGTCCCAACTGGAGATGCCTCCCAGTCACATCACTCCAATTGCAGGGCAAGATATCCTTGACTCTCTGAGAAAGGAATGTTATTTAGACTATATATCTCCCATACTCCATATAATTCCCCCTCCCATTTTCCCACAGCAAAAAAATGTGGCATGCCTAAAGACTCAATGTAAAAGATGGCTTCCAGGCCTGACACCTGGTGAACTAGAAACCAGAAAATCCTGAGTTCTAACCCTTTTGTTAGGTATGGAAACTGACTTTGGATCAGTCACTGTCTCTCAATCCAATCCACCCATTGGAGTGGCTGTTTTGTGGAAAATATAAGTTGGGAGCACTACATATTCAACTTTGAGTATTACAAAATAAAGAAGGATTCTTCACAGATGAACCCACTGCAAATTTCAGAGAGTCAAGGGTATGCTAAGTTGCTTTCCATGTTTTCCGGAATCCCTAAAGTAAGAAATTGAACTTTTAAAATTCTAACATACGTACTTTCCCTTTTGTGCAGGACAAATTGCGAACAGGAGAAAAGGCAGTGGTTCATTTCAGATTCATTAAACATCCTGAATATTTGAAGATAGGAGCCAAACTATTGTTTCGTGAAGGAGTTACCAAAGGTATTGGACATGTCACATCCATCCAGGCTATCACCACTGGAGAAAATGGCCTGGAACACAATCTGTGCCCTGATCCAGTCAGCTTCTGACTCACACCAGCATTTCTCAGTGCTCCGAATAAGGGAAAGATCTCGTGCCATTGTGCAGAGCCACTGTTGGCTAATCAATTTACATAGGCACATCTTTTCTGCACTGCAGAAGCCAGAGTTACCTACTGGACTGAGCACCCTTCCTGGAGCAAATTAAGCTTGTTGTTTGTGCATCACCTGCTACTTCCATATTCCTGCTTTTCCTGGAATAGACAAGCAAACAGCTGCATCTTTGACTAGGTTGGACATCCTGCTTTTGTTGACCTTTGTGGGGGAAGTTATTACCAGAGAGGGGCATAACCATAGTAAGTTGGACTGTAATTTTGGGATGCTGCTGCCTGGGAAACAACAGTGGAGGACTCGTTTGTGTTCAGAAGGATATTAGTGTTGTCCTAGTGCCTGGTTTTGCAGGCTTTCTATGGCAGATGAATTGTTATTATTAGGAACTAGAGCTTAACGTTCTGTACTTCCCACAGTACGGCTCAGGATGTTTCTAATCATTTTAAATTATTGTTGGTTTCACATTAAGCCAGTAATGAAGAGCCTCTCTTCTCCCTCCACCTTTGTGTGCAAATCCTTACCAGCGCTTTAAAAAGAGAGGGGAGAATACAGGAGGAAGAAATCCCTCTAATGCAGGGGTAGGTAACAATTTCATGACCAGAGCCATGAAGTAGTGTTGTTGTTTTAATGGGCACTCCTATAACTACAGAATCCATAGCTGCTGATGCAATGATATTGCTAGGGTAGATGGGTTGAAATGTTCTGCCTAAACTGGAGAGGGGGTGGGGGTGGTGGAAGCTTTTATGTAAATGGATACATATAATTTCTCTGAGGCCTTATGCAGCTATACTCATCACAAAAAATGTTTTTTTTTTTAAATGCCACTGAAAATCAGTGGTTCTACCAAATTTCACCAGCATGAGCAAGTGATGCAATGGAAAGCTACATGTGGGACACAGGCTGCCCATCTGCTGCTCTAAAATAGCCCTGACCTTATGGCAACCACAGTTCTCCAGCTCAGTTCTTAATATTGTCAGATTTCCCTGCCATTTTGTTAGCCATTTGTTCCTCAGCAAGTGCCCTACCTAAGCAACTTCTTCGAGCAGATTGCCCCAGTATAACATCAGCCTGTTGCTTGTTTCTTGAAGTGAGTGGTGGCTGGCAATTTTGATTGCTGTCTCTTTCGATATTTATAACTTTTCTGAGATATGGGTATCCAGGTCCAACCTATTCCTTGGGGCAAGAGTCTTTATTGCCAATGGTCATACCAGTGAAGGCTACTCTAGCTGTTGCAATATTGGGAAGGTTCCTGCAATTCTAATTCTCCCATTCAGCTTTGCTATCGGCTATCATTTGTATTAAACTAGTATCTTTTGCAGAAAATCAACTTTATACCTAAGATTAAATCTATGACTTATTGAAAGTACAGCAGAATTTTTGAATTGGCCATCTGATAGAATGGTCTCAGACACTGAAAGATACCTTCATTTTTTATTAAGATTTTTAAAGGTAGTGATGTTATTTTTATTGTATGTTTTAACCACTGTTGCATCAAGGGCTCGAATAAACGAGCCAACATGGCCAGTAAAATATATGACTTTTTATCCTTCCACTCGATTCCCCGTTCTGCTGTTTCATCTCTGTTGTACAGAGATTAGATTATTCAGAGCAACTGCTCTATAACATATTACTGTTAAGTCTGCGTATATAGAAAGATTTTTATTTAATATAGCCTTTTAAGAAAAGCCTTTACTCACCTCCCTGGATAAAAGAAAATCCTTCCAATACTCCAATAAACAGTTGCTAAGTATCATGGCTATTTGTTGACAAGCAGTTTTTCTTTTGAAGTTTTCCTTAATTACACACAAGCATTTTGAAAAACTGGCTTTCTAGATACCTTCCGAGAGATTTTATTCTGTGGTAGGAATATGTGCTTTCTCTGCAGTTTACAGTGATGGCTAAGTTAATCCATTGCAAATGTAAACATTCAAGGTGCTTTTTCTACCCTCAAGTCCAGGCGTTTCCTGATCTCCTCCTTCCCTTCCCTTTTATTATGTGTGTATGTTCCCAGTGCCAAGCCTTTCATATTCACTGTTTGTGATTTCTTAAAAGGAGAGGGATGTTTTCATCTTTCTGTATAATTCACAAAATAAAGATGCTTTATTGAGAAAACAAAGCTGTGGTTTGCTCTGAATAAACTCTGTCATTTGCTCTGTCCCTTAATAGTTTTGGCTCTGAAAGTGTGCTCTTATCCTGCCCTGACTTTGTTAGTTTCAGATGTTTGTAGGGTCATGTGTGCAAGCTAGTATATGCTTATCTGACATTACCAAATGCAGGATGTGCTAAGCATTTCATGAGAGTTTAGGATATAGATTCAGTGCCTTGAATAAATTACACTATACTTAATATTTGAAGTCACTTGCAAACGCAAAAATCCTTTGACTAATAAAAGTTCAAGACCGTTTATAAATACTGGACTAGTATATCATTAATCATACATCTTGTTTCTTTATTCTAATAAATGACACTCCTAATTGTGAGAGGAATTTTTATTTAACCCGTTTATTGGTGCTGCAATGGTTGTTATGTAACATCAGCTACACGACATTAGTTCCTGTTATTCTGAAGTGCAATAAAATGAAGCAGTATTACAAAGAAGTCGATAATTCCTATTAAAAAACTTCAGGCTTACACATGCATACACACACACACACACGCTACTTTGGGTGGCTCATAATAACTAAAGAAAAATACAATAACCAGTAAAAAAAAAATTTTTTTTAATCGGACAAATGTTTTCACTCTCTCTGGCCGAAGTCCTGAGCAAAGAGCCAGATCTTCTAGTTCCTTTAAACAACAGCATGGATCTCAAGGTGGAAGAGATCTCATTCCAGAAATCAGGTACTGCTACAGAAGAGGTGTGCTTCTGGGATCCCAATGGAGAATGTACGTAAATCAAAAGGAATTGGTGTGTGCCATTGCTGTAGTTTCAAATCAGCTGGATAGATGCTATGGGTGTCGGGTAGTACTCCAGTAACCACACTTTATGCTATGTAAACTTTATAAATAATAGAAATATGAATTGTATTTGAAAGCAATAAGTTTTATTTTGCTAAACTAATCAACAAAAAAGTGCATATTCAAGCATTAAAGGAACAATATATTTTAAAATTTGTAAGCATAGTAATAATGAGTAATAAATTAAGACAGAAATACACAAGATCAGAAAATTATGTCATAAACAGAATTCAAATAATTTTGATTCTATTGATTGGCAGTATTCTTTGCCACCTTTAAAAAATATTAATTCAAATATAGCAATCCATTTTTGCAAGTCCAGGATGGATTTCTCCTTACTCTAAATTCATTTAACCAACTTCCCTGCCCAAAATTTTCACATTTTTTGCTAGAGTCCAAATACTGGAATATGGCAAAGAAGCATATATGTGTATTTAACATAATGTGATTAATCCAAAATTGTCATCAGAACAATAATGGGATAAGAGCAAACCATATGGGAAAATGCTCCAACCCCTAAATTGTATCTCCATCAGCAGGAACACTAACCAATCCTTGCTAAATTTTATTTGGAGCATCTTATAAAACAAAGCAAATTTTAAATGCACTACATTCATTTTAAGATTATAGGAAGTTAATTTTACATTTAATGCAACCAGTTTATAGGACGACATTTAAGCATGCATTCCAAAGATCAGGTAAAGGTAAAGGTTCCCCTTGCACATATATGCACTAGTCGTTCCCGATTCTAAGGGGCAGTGTTCATCTCCATCTCAAAGCTGAAGAGCCAGCAATGTCCAAAGATGTCTCCATGGTCATGTGGCCAGCATGACTAAACACTGAAGGTACACGGAACACTGTTACCTTCCCACCAAAGGTGGTTCCTATTTTTCTATTTGCATTTTTACATGTTTTTGAACTGCTAGGTTGGCAGAAACTGGGGCAAGTAACGGGGGCTCACTCCGTTATACAGCAATAGGGATTCAAACCGCCGTACTGCCGACCTGATCGACAAGTTCAGCGTCTTAGCCACTGAGCCACCGCGTCCCTAAAAGATCATGTAAATAATATCAATTTCACCAATTTCCTTCAACCTCTTACAAAGAAGGTTTACTGGTTTAGGACCCATAGATGATTCTTCCAGCTCTTCTGACAATTGCAGTATTAACAGATTGAGATTCAAATAAATAACAAATACTTAAGTTGCATATATTGTAATGCCAAGAGGTATTCTAAATACCTCTTGCAGTATCAAAATACTGCAAAGGCTATAAACAGCTTCTTCCTAATGAGTGGATCCAAAATAATGAGAGAGTATTTATCCAGGGGTGTCAAACTCACATCATCACGACGGCGTCAAGTAACATCGGGACTTTTTCCCCCTTTGCTAAACTAGCCGTGGATGTGGACAGCCCATGACGCATCTGGCCTCTGGGCCGGACGTTTGACAGCTCTGATTAATCCAATAGTAAACTATTTTTAATTAAATTAAGATGATCCCATTGTGCAATTTTGTCATAGATAAAAAAGAACAAATTATAGAAGAGAATATTTGTATCTGAGGGTTGAACTGTGGAATTTTTGGTGCTCTCTAAATTTGGTTGTTTTCTTACAGGTGTTTCAATACCAAACTAGGTAATATCATCAATACTAGTAGGGAGTGGATTTGCTCTGATTTTATACACTAGTACCGTGATGACGAATCTATAGCACGCGAAGCCATGTTGCGTGGCATGCGCGGCCTTGCCTGTTTTGTCTTCTGGGTTTCTGGAGCGCATGCGCACACAACAATCAGCTGTTCTGCTTGTGTATGGCAGTGCCAAAAACCAGCATGCATGCCGGCCAGCTGATTGTTATGCGTACTAGAACCCAGAAGTTTGCCTTTTTCGGCATGCGGCCCCAATGAACGTATAATACAGGGTTTTTTACATAAGTTTAGAAAATATATAGAAAGGTTCTTAAGAAATTTTAAAAAATGCAAGAGAGCAAGAACTGAACTGTTGTTTTCCAAAGGTTGTGGACTCCTCAATGCTATCAAATCCAGCTAGCAGAACCAATAGGAAAGGATAATAGAAGTTGAAATCCACCATCTGTGGCAAGTCTAGATTTTAATCCTGTCTCAAAATCAAATCCAAAATTATGTGCTGTCTGATATCAAGGTTTCTTATGATTTTCACTCATTGTAATCTTGACTGTAATCTGGCTCTTAGAACCTCTACATGAATGCAAGACTTTTGAAATAAGCAAATCTTCTACATGATAGATAGCAGATAAATTCTTACTTACAGAGCTCCATTTTAAAACTAGCCATGGGACAACTACAGAACTATTAGCAGAACGTAATCTCATCGTCACGTTGTCCATTGTCATCTTGTCAATAAAGTAACAGAAGGCCCTGCAGACAGCATACCTTTTATTACAGATTTTTATCCCCATTTATTAGCTCCCAGAAAGATTACGTTTTAAGGAATAATTTATTAGGATTAGTTAATCAGAGAAAGTACATTTTCTAAGTCACCGGTTACTCAAGTGCGCAACTATGGTGGCAATGGTTTAAAAAAGAAATCTAAAGTCCTCGTTCCATCTTGCTTTGGTCGTTTGGCACTAGTGGTTCTCTGTTCCCTTGATTTATTTTTCTCCTTCATTGGACTGGCAAGAGATTGAACTGATCTGAAGGAGTTAGACCCCGAGAAAGAATTCTGCAGTTCTACAGCAAAGTGGTAATCTAAGTGTTCACTGAACTCCCACACTGCCACTCTTTGGTTACATTTCTCACATAACAAGCAATCATTCATTGAGGAGGGATCAGCCAAACTCACAGCTCCCTCCTGCAAAAGTCCAGGAGCCGTCTGCACGTTTTCTTCTTTAAATGAACCAGGAAGGATTTTCATTTCTGAAGATGATGCATAACCTTCACCAGTCAAAGTGGTGTCTTGCAAAGGTTGCTCCATCAACTGCTGTTTCTGCATCACGTTTGGGTTGCTTGTTTCCGTTAAGCCTTCTGAAACATGGCTGCTATTTTGAGAATCCTTGACCTGAGTAGCTGATGGTACTATGATATCATTTACACCAGGAACAAAATGCTCAGCAATAGCCTGGGCTTGTTTTCTTTTTGCTGCCTTTTGAAAGAGCATTTCAATAGCATTAACTGCCTTCTTGCTGGTCTCCTTTTTGGGACTTTCAAGGAACTTTGCATTCATGCTTTCTGTAATGGTGGAGGTGTGTTGTGTACATTGGCTATTATTAGTTAGGAAGGAAGTAATATCCACAGACGATACTGTACAAGCCTCAGTAAATTTGCTCACACAGAGCTGAAGAAGTGTAACAGGAGGAGACCTAATGATAGAAGCAAATTATCAAGCTTTAAAAAAAAAACTACTTTCAAAACTAAACTGCACTATATTTTTTCCAGTAATTTGACTTCTCTAAGCATGGAAGAATCTGTCCCAAGGTTATTCTTTCTGTATACTCTTTCTTCTAGCTAGTACTTCCTTTCAAGATCTTTCTTTCTTTAGTTAAAAAATAACTACCCAAGCAAGATACACCACTACTTCCAACTGATAACTAGCACTCCAAATTTTGCTCTGTCCCATTTTTAATGCAAATTTTCCTTCTCACACTATACCACTAGCTTCTTTGCCAACATCTTGCACAGAATCTTCTAATGTGCTTTGGTTGAAGAGCCTGCATATGTTTGGTAACCCTTATTTTTCAAAGAAAAAAGTTCCTACTGATCTCATTCTATTATTGTATTTCATCTCCTAACTCTTACTGCATATGGCAAAATTTAAGCAGCAAGGATAGGAACCGTTTTTTCCCCGCCACAGTAGCTTATTCTTAAATTCAAGAAGTAAAATTCTTACCATGTTGCTTGCTGGCCTGCTGCTGTGTTACAGTTCTGGATTAGTGCAAAGGCATCTCTGCTAATTTTTTGAGCTTCATACTGGGACAAGGCACAGCAGCGTGTTATATTGGTATGTTTACCACCCTGCAAATGGATCCCAACACTCAATTGTTTAGCTACCCGGTTGTTCTGTGGAAAAATAAATATATTAAATAATGGAAATAGATCCATAAAAGACCATTAACAAGAGATACGGTACTTAAGATATGAAGCTATTGAATTTTTTCATCACTGAAGATATAGTCAACAGAAAAGGGTTAGAACTTTATCCCATAAGAAAAGTGGGCCTAAGACTTCTACAGTTTGTGGCTGTAGCCCCTTCCCAACTCACTCGTAGTTCTATTTTCCTTTCTGGGCCAAGAGGCAGTAGAATGCATCCATTAATGAATGGATTAATTGAATTAAGAAATAGGACAATGAATTAAGAAACAGGAAACTCTGAGCTAGTATAAAGGAACAAAGATTGTAGAAAAATAGCCTCAGCAGGCTTTTTAAATGGTCACCTTTCTTTTTTTCTATCTTTTGTTTCCTCCTGGCCCACCCCACTGATTTTTTTCACCATTTTCACTCTTCAGAGCAGACAGTCATTTATTTATCACCAGAAATTCTACTCAAGATCATGGTAATCAGTTCTGTAGCAAAATACTGATGAGAAAGCCCTGAATTAAACAATTCAAATCCCATCAAATAATAAAAGCTGTTCTCCCATATATGTTTCAGTTCTATACACATTGGTTAGATAACATTATGCCTACCTGGTCTCTATCCTTATTCAATCTTTCTTCCAGCTCCAAGGCCAATTGCAAAAGCCAATACTGCACCTTCAGAAAGCATTACAATACAGTTACAATCTTAGGACTATGATTAGTATGCTGCTAACTTAAATCAAATCAAAAGAAAACCTCTGGCAGGCTTTTTGGAACTGTCAGATTCCCATATCTTCAAAATCAGATTCATAACAGCAATACAAAATCAATATTACATAATCTATGCAGCTGGAAAAGTACTGAAATACAAAGCAGAATAACTTTCTGCTTATGGTCCAAGAAATCTATAATCCAAATTATTTCAATATATTATAAGAGCTGTAGGGTATTCCCACTGATTGAACTGTCAAAGTAAGTTTTCCAACAGTCTCTTTACTGATTGCTGAAGATCTAAGTGCATAGGATTGAAATTACCATGCACCATGGTAATGGAAGAGCTATTTGCTATTCTAAGTTGACATTCTGTGTCTCTACCTCTTTAGTACTAACCTGAATATCCAGCCATCCTAAAATGGGAGGATATTAGGTTACACTCCAGTTAATGAGAAGGCAGTTGGTTGGCTGTGAATATTTCTATGTAGTTTGCACTAGAATTAAGGAGTTTAATAAAGGGACAATTATTTTGGATTTCTGAATCAATAAGCCTATACAATTTTTGCCAAAATGTATTCCAATTGCTCAACCCTTGCCAGTCCAAATCACATGCTATTCTCTCTGCACTTTTTTACCTGCTTCTGGGTAACCAATGCTGTTCTTCCAGGGAAATTCTTACTGCAACCAATGGATTTTGGCAATTGTCTAGCTTTCACAGGCTCAAAGTCAATTCCTCTGCACAGTTCATATAACCAGGATCTGTAAATCATACATAGAAGCCCAAGTAAATAGTACATCTAAGTTTGCAACTAATCGTTGATTTATCTTGCTATTTGTTTAATGATCTAAAATATTTGGAAGTTGCATCAATTTAAAATAAAGGATTCCAAAATGGATAATTTAACGAACATTAAGTACCATTTATATATTTCCATTAAAGCCACATTTTGCTCAATAGATCCCAAAGTTCACCAAAATAATGGTTTAAAAAGGCAGATACAGAATTAAGGAACACAGAGTTTCTGACACAGGATTTAGTTTTGGATATTCAAATAAATTATTTGTAACTACATTTTTACATCAACAAATCTCCTGAATTATTGCTCCTATTGTTGAAACACTGGAAATCATAACATTTTTTTTGTAGGGTACTACAAATAAAAAGTAACACTGACCACCTAAAGATCCATCGCTGTCCATCTATTTTACATTACTATAACATGTTCCAATGTGCATGTGTTGTATTTTAAGACATCTATGAATTCTACCCTGAACTCAGTAAAGTAAAAACAGAAGGCCAAATTAGATATCATATAAAAAACATAAAAAGATGACTGCAAGAGATCAACACTTGTGGCTGAAGGGAAGCTATGGATATAATTCAATACACTGCTATATTAGCTGGAAAGCTATTAGAGGAAGATTTCATTTGGCACTCATTCATTGAATATCCCATTTGTCAATCAAAACAGCATTCCAAGGGATTAGAATAGCCTTGCACTGTAGGAAGTTAGCACCTCTCCTAGGAAAATGAAATATTTTTGGAAATATTAAAAGGGCAGAATATTCCCCCTAAAAGGGAGGCAGAAACTCAGCGCCCGCCCCCCCAGCATCTATTCCCTTTTTCTTCAAGATCTGCAAGGCATGTGATCCCCCTTTCCCCCGGACCTCAAACCACGTGATCCTGTCCATCATCAATAAACCTTCTTTCCAAGCACCTTCCATGAATCCAGTGTCTTTTTCCCCACTTGGAACTGAACTCAGATGAACATTTCTTCCAACACATTGTATCAACTAGTCTTGTGATTTATTTGTTATCACATTTGGCTGATTTTTTTTTTAAACTGAAAACCCCTCATTTCAAAACAGAACATATTTCATGCAATACTACATTTGTTTCTCATTATTTCCCAAAATGTCTATTTTCCCTTGGACTAAGTGAATAAGCAAAAGAAAACATCAGATCCTACTGATTCAGATTCTCAGCAGAACTAGCCTGATTTCTACACAATCCATTCCAAGTTAAGTACTGAACAGCCCATTACTGTATAAGCACAAAAAGAAACACACATAGAAGCCAAAATTTCAAAAAAATTGACTTGCCCAGTCTTCTCTCCGAAATGTGTCTGAAGCTGTGATTCACTGAACTGGATCAGCTCTCCCATATATTGCACTCCGAGACATTCAGTAATAGAAGCACCTAGTTTCCCTCCAAGGTTGCGACTACAGGAGAAAAAGAAACCAATTGGTTGGAGAAAGAAAAGATACTAGATCCGGGTACCAATCAGCAAAAGTATTCAGGTAATTGCCCAAAGAGGGAAGGACTGCGGGATTTTTGCTATTTGACAAATGGCTAAAGCATGTGGACAGAAACAGTAATGCATAAGCAGCTTCTCCCTATACTAGTAGGAATCAAGCACAAATATGCCCAAGTAGTAACATGCAGGAGAAAAGGATAACTTTGAAATTCATGGCTATATCCTCAGTTTTACGTACATGTTGCCGATTGGCATCTTGCTAAAGAGCTGAGGAACAGCCCCCTGGGATACCAGAGTCTGTCGATTTGGTTTGTTGAGGCCACAGGCCAGTTTTGCTAATACCTGAAATGAACCAAACAGCTAGTTTAGCAACAGCAACAATTTCCTACATTCAAATGTTAGAACAAAAGAAATCAAAATATAGGACACAGTGCAAATACAACTACTCAAAACTATATAAAGATAATCACTATATTGTGGAATTTCAAGGCCACAATGACACATTTAACTTACTTAACCAAAAGGAAATTATATCTGGTCCAAAAATATAAATTCTCATACTGTATGTTTTCCCTCATTTTTATTTATCATAAATATTTGTATTTAGTTCATCCTGGGGCCAAAACACCCAATAGAATTGTATTCATTCTTAATACCAGGATGTATAAAATTACAAAAACTTTTACAGCAAACTTGGATAGAATGATATGTTCACAGCACTGTAGAATCCTGGAGAATAATGCATTTGCTTCAACTTGGGCTACCTGCTTTTTTGGTCCAGAATAGAATTGTTCCATTTTGTGGGTGCTTATTTCAGTTTGTCCCAAAGGCCTTTGAAAAGTGAAGTGAAGTAAGACTAACCCTGAGTGGGTAGCAGACTTAGAATGTTGACCTCATCGGGGAAGCCACTTCAGACTTCACTAACTTTTATTTCTTTCTAAGAGTTTAAGAGATTTCTGCAATTATATAAGGGAAAGGATGAGGTGACTTCTGTTAGACAGTCTGATGGAAGTGACTTTTGGGGGAAATAACTGGTCAGGTTATGAAGAAGAGAGACAAGATACAAGATAACCCGCACCAGTTCCCTCCCACCTCCAGTAGGTGGACTGTAGTAATCATATTAGCTAACCCCTTTGGCCTGCAGGTATTGTTGCTAAATGCCAAGTTAATAAATAAGATCTCCCTCCCCCTTGATCTGACCATGGATGAGGAGGTTGACCTGGAATATAACTGAGCCCTAGGGGTGGGTCAGTCTGTCTGTCTGTCTGTGTCCGTCCGTCCGCCCTCCCTCTCTCTCCCCCTCCCTTCCTCCCTCCCTCTCTCTCTCTCTCATATTAGACTTGCAGAAACTATTTCTCTTCCCAGAGGTGAAGGAACAGCACCCAGCCCACTCTGCTGTGTGGCACATATCTCAGTTGGGAACAGTTAGGTAAATCAGATGACGACTCATCTTGAACTGGACACACTCAAAACTGTAGAAATGAGAGTCGATTTTAGGAGAAGCCTTCTTATTCTACCACCTCTTACAATACTAGACAACACAGTATCAGCAGTAGAGACCTTCAAGTTTCTGGGTTCTATAATATCTCAAGACATCAAAAATGTTCTTAAAAAAGCACAACAAAGAATGTTCTTCCTACACCAACTCAGAAAGTTCAGCCGGCTCAAGGAGCTGCTGATACAGTTTAAAAAGGAACTATTGAATCTGTCATTTGTACATCTATAACTGTCAGGTTTGGCCCTGCAACCAAACAAGACAGACACAGACTTCAATGGATAGTTAGAACTGCAGAAAAAACAATTGCTACCAGTCTGCCTTCCACTGAGGACCTGTATACGGCATGAGCCAGAAAGAGGGCTGTGAAAATATCTATAGATCCCTCGCATCCTGGACATAAAACTGTTTTAACTTCTTCTTTCAGTTCTATTCAACGCTATAGGGAATTGCAGGCAAAAACAACTAGACACAAGGGCATTCCCATGACATCACTCTGCTAAACTAGTTCCCACAACACTGTCAAACTATCTAGTAGGGCTGTATTACTATTATCCTTCTCATCTTTCCTATTACCTATTACCTTATCTTATGACTATAACTGTGTTACTTATATCTTATGATTTATGTTGATGGCTTATTTATTATCCTACGACATGCGTGGCAAATCTGAGCTGGGACAACAGCTTGCATGCCTGCAGAGAGGGCTCTGTGTGCCACCTGTGGCACATGTGCCAAAGGTTCACCATCACGGGTATAGCGTCTCCTGCTTGAGCAGGGAATTAGACTAGAAGATCTTAAAGGTCCCTTCCAGCTCTATTCCAATTGATTGAAATAGCATGCCCTCAGTATTATCCAACAGAACTTTCCCAAGTGCTTCAAGGTCTTTTCTTTCCTCTTTCTCTCTTTTATATGTCCTGCATTCATTGGATACAAATTTTGACATAGACCAATCAAGTTCTACGTATTGAATAGTAGAATGAGTTCAACATTAGAAAACAAGCAGTAATACCTTATTGTGAGAAATTCCAACAGAACATTGAAATCCAGTGGCAGACTCCACTGCAGCCCTCATTTCTTCCATGATCGCTGCCCCTACTGTCAGCTGCAATTCTGGATTGCTGGGATCTACAAAAGGCAATGACTTGAGCCACTGGCACACACCACGTTGCCTTATCTCCTCTAAAAAAGAACACAAACCAATTCAAAGTAAGGATCTTGCTAGACTGTTAACCATTTGTAACCATATTCATTAATGAACCACATACCAATAAACTGTTCTTAGCATCCTAATGTCACTCATTATATAATGCCACGGTACAGTAATAATATATAACCTTACACAATGCATTTGTGTGACTGGAGCATGTGAGATTCATTCAAACCAGACCAAATGGCATAAAGGTGTGCTCAGGAAGATTTCAGTTTACACAACATATAAAAATATCATTATAAAAGTTTGAAGAATATATTTCAGAGCAAGGTTCCTAAAAAAATAGATGTGAGAAAAGTTCCAAAGTTGGATCAAACAAGCTTTGCTGGAATGTATATACTGTATGTATGTATGTATGTATGTATGTATGTATGTATGTATGTATGTATGTATGTATGTAAAAGAGAACACAGTCCTAGAGTCAGCACACAGAATGAGCATTTCATGTTGGTATTCTATCTTGATTTTTCTGGAATTCAAACATATCACAGTGAGCTAAACTTTTAAGTGAGAAAAACATGCATGAATGAATCTTTTAGTTCCAAACGTAAACAAGAAATTTGGAAACCAGTCTTTGGTTCCATATATTTTAGTTTAGATAAAAAGAAAAGTAGCACTGAAAGTTTTTCCAGCTTCAGTATAACAATCTCAACTCCCCAAAAATACAACATGTCCTCATCATACAGCCATGCCACATTTTTCTGCTGGACAAAAATATAAGCCCCCCCTTGCATATAAGCCCCCTAGACAACCCCCCACCTCTGGCCAGGCAGAGTGCCGCTCACCAACCTAGCATTATCCTGAAGGTGCCAAGACACATGAATGCCTGTTCTCTGCCGCCTGGCTCCTGCGGCTTGACGCCTTACAAATGCCAGTGAATGGCGCTCTGCACGGCTGGAGAGGGGTATGGCGTGAGTGGCTGTTCTGCTCTCGCTCATCCATCTCCCAGCTCACAATGTATGGCCCAGCTCTCATTACAGAGCCAGGGCACCTTCGCTGCTGCCACCGCCACCATCCCAGCCTGGCTTTTTCCGCGCCTTCCAACCCGAGTCTTTCGGCAGTGGCCGCTCTGGGTACACGCTCTATGGTTGTATGCTCTGCAGGCAGCTGGCCCATAACCATAGAGCGTGCACCCAGAACGGCCACTGCCGAAAGACTTGGGTTGGAAGATGCGGAAAAAGCCAGGCTGGGATGGTGGCAGTAGCGGCGGTGCCCGGGCTCCGTAATGAGAGCTGGACCATGCATCGTGAGCTGGGAGGTGGGTGAGCGAGAGCAGAACAGCCACTCGTGCAACCCCCCTCTCCATCTGTGCAGAGCGCCATTCACTGGCATTTGGAAGGCGCCAAGCTGCAGGAGTCGGGCGGCGGCGAACAGGCGCTCACGTGGCTTGGCGATATCCCTAGGTCAGTGAATGGCGCAGTGCCCGGCTGCAAAGGGAGTTTGCTGGGTGGCTGCTTGTGAGCATGGTGCTTCATGGCTGTTGTGTTGCGCTGCTATGACAGTGGAACACAGCCGTTCGACCCTGAAGCTGTGTCCAGCTCTTGGGGAGTCCACTCGCAAGAGAGCAGCCACCCGGCAACCTCAAAACAATATGTATGTATGTTTATTAACAATACAATAAACAATAAACCCTCCCCCCATAATAAAGCCCAAGCCACATTTTGTAGATAAAAAGAAAATAAGACCTATCGTATTTTCGGGGAAACACAGTAATAGCAAAATCACAGAAGATCAAGTGAATGCAGTTGGGGGAGAGAATCCAATCTGCTTGCAAATGTTATTCAATTCCCCAGAAAACATAACTGGACTGAACATTAGTATTAATGGAGTCTTTCTCTTCCCCACCCACCCTCTCTCTCTATACACACACCCCACTATACCTTTGTTGTCCGTATTTTCTTCTTCTTCAAGGCTATTTGGGAATCCTTGAATATACGTAGTTCCCAATTGCTCTGCTGAAATAGGTTGACCCTCCATCTTTTTCAGCCTTTCCTGTATAGCTTGTGTTAAGTCCAGATAAGCTTCATCAATACTGGCACGTTCAATCACAGCAAAACGTGACATCACTTCCATCACCTCTATGCTGGCTTCTCTATATCTACATGAAGGCACCAAATAAATTTTGATATTTCTGTTTATCTTGCCCTCAAGAATCTAATAAAAATCTGGCCATCAAAGTGATGGGTCTGTAGCATTATTTTTTTTATAATGCAGAATTTGACACATGAAAACACCTTCATCGAGAAACTCTGAAATTATACATCAACATTCAACAACAAACTATTCATGGTGATCATAGTTCTGATTTTCAGTAAGAAGTAGTAAAATGAATAGAAAATGAGATATGCAAAGGGCTTTAAATATTTTTAAAAATGAGATAAAATGTTGAGGTGAAACCCACACATATACATACACGCACAAATTCCTTAAATTAATTCCTAGTTCTACTACTACATCACTATCCTGAATACTGTTACCACATGATTATATTTTTGAAAGAAGAATAGACTAAACGTACTGCATCCAGTTTTTTAAGAGGCAGCATAATGTATTTCTTTAAACTGTTTGGAAAACAAACATAAGTTCCAAAAAAGTGGAAAATTCACCAAAAAGGAGCTGTGATTAAGAACCATACTGAGACATTTTTGTTTGTTTGTTTTAGATGGTTTCACAATCACCCAAGTGGGTGGAGGACAAGAGAAATTGTAAAAAGCTACCAATCCCAGGTTTACCTGGTGAGATCTGCTTTGCCACGGGCCTCTGGCACTCTAGCCAACTCAAGATCTGGGCATAACTTCTTGGCATCAGCAGCCCACATGTTTCTTTTAACTCCAAAAGCACGTGCTTCATAGCTCACAGCAATTATCCTGAATTCCATGAAGGGGAAATATATTTGACATTACATAAAGGACAAAATGTTCATTTCCCCCAGTTTAGCATTAGATAGGAGAACTTTCACAGGTTTTACAGTATCACCTACACATTGAATACTTCTCAGGATTTTTTTCTTCAACCATAGAATATTTAATCATTTTGATGGGGATCATTTATTCCTAAAGATTTTTAGAAGATATTGAGAGGCTGTGAACCTGTGGTAGTTGACAGCTACTTAATCACTGCATGTACCACAGTGCTAGGGTTCCTGTACCCCCACTGCCCCGCCCCAGGTTAAAAATACATATTTTGGGACAAGGCTGAGCAAAAATTATCCTACTCAAGAATACTAGTGTTCTATATATAAAACACAAAAGTAAAGGACCAAACAAATTTTAGAGGAGCAATCTGAGAGAGAGAGAGACCTGATATTTAAATGAGAACACTACAGAAGTTGGTCCAGAAATAAAAACATGTATACATGAAACATTCACTTTCTCCCATTACCATTTAGGAATGTATTATTTAATCTAGATATGTATGCAAAACAAAATACTGGAGACATTAGGCTCCCCCGCCTCCCCGCTATTTTAAATAATATGCTTATTAACAGAAGGAAGACTTTTTTGTGTGTGTCCTTGAATTGGCTTTTTAAGTCCTGGGGACTGACTGCCTGGACTATAATCCCTGCAGTTTTCTTGGCAAGATTTCCCAAATCCTGCTCTACTTCCTAGTGCGAAAGTGACAAGGTCCCCCAGTCGGCTTGTACCCTCATCACACCAAACTGGCTCAAAGAAAAGTAGAATTGAGTTAAAACGTGTCTCCGCGAAGTTGCCGTTTCTTGTAACGACGCCGGAAGAAGACACGGCTCATTTGTTTTCTAAAGCTTTTCATTCCTTCGCCTCGATTATCTAACACTTCCATTTTCTTCCCAGTCTACACAAGGAGAGGCATTTCCTACCCGCCACCTTTCCACGTCTTATATTGCACCACGACACACGGCTTTCCATGCAGACGGGGATCCAGCCGTCGCTCCACCTGTATATAGAAACAGTCCATATCCGCCAAAGCCACCACTCGCTCCTGCCCCCGAACCATCGCGCTCCGCTGACGGCCACCCAAAAGGATTAAACCGAAGCCAAAAGTAGAAGGGGAAGCAGAGGAATCCGGGATTAGCTCCCTGTCTGAGTTAAGTTCCCGCCGTCGGGAAGGATCAGAGAAAAAAAAACTCCTCCCTCTACGGTTTCTAACTTCCGCCCAAAACTCAAGGCACCTTGGGAAACGTAGTTTTAAAAGGAAACATACCATTAAAGTAATGTCCTTCGAATATCGCTCAACTCATGTTTTTTATGGAGAATTCTGGGAATTGAAGTCCACAAGTCTTAAAGTTGCCAAGTTTGAGGACCTCTGCCTAAGACGCTTAAGAAACTTGGCTATTATGACTCCTGGACAATGCATTATTACTCCAGTCCAGTCCCCCATGAAACTAAAAACTGAGACTCAACCTTGTCAAGCTTAGGTCCATTTTAAAAAAAAAACAACTGGAAGTCGTTTCACCAATATGAATATACTTCTGAATATTCCCTGTTGCAGGTTGGCCTTTGTGGAATGACTTTCTCTGAAGAAAGAGAAAGTCCAATGTTTGGAGGGGGGTGGGGAGGGAGGAAACCCGAAAGAACCGAAGTCTCTCAAAGGAAAACGATGTATTCTACATTTCTAACTCTATACGCATACCATAGAGTTAGATCCAGCTTGTCCGGCCGCCGTTCAAGAAGAGATCAGCCGACCTCCTGCGCCTGCGCACTGTGACTTTTCTCTCCGTTGGACCCGGCACGCCGTTGCTTCTTGGCTTTCCCCCCGGTTGCTTGGTTGCCGTGGGCAACGGACCTGTCCCCCCCTCCCGTTCCCCCCTCCCCGCCGGAAGACCTTGCGTCCAGGCACAATGTCGTGGGACCCCGTGAACACGCTCTGCGAGCAGCTGGTGAAGGCGGTGACGGCGATGATGGACCCGGCCTCCACGCAGCGCTACCGTCTGGAGGCCCTCAAGGTATCGTGGCGGCAGCGGTTACGGGCGGGAACGCCCCTTTAGAGCATGCACGCAAACCAGCGGCCCGAAGTAAAGTGGGAGGGAAACGCATCGCCTCCGTTGGCCTTTTTCCCCGCTGCAGTTACCATTAACTCGGCTAGCCATCCTTTGGAGCAGGTCGTTCGGTGTGGAGAACGTGGGGACTCGCTCGCCTCGTCGGCTTGACTGATGCCTTCGGGGCCCCGACGCCCCTTGGGCAGCGCATCTCCCTCTCCCCCAGTCACGATCTGTTCTTCATGGGGCCGCTTATTCTGAGATCGAAGTACAGGGATGTAGTCCTCAACTTACGACCAGAACGGAGCCCAAAATGTGTGTTGCTAAGTGAAACAAGTGTTAAGGGAGCCTTGCTCCTTTTTGCGAATTTTTTTTACTTAACAGCCCCGGTTGTTAAGTGAATCACTGCTGTGGTTAAATGGAGTAACCCGGATGTTAAGCGAATCTGGCTTGCGCCTTGACTTTGCCGGTCAAAAGGAGATCACGGGACTTCTGGACATTGCAACCATCGTAAATACAAGTCCATTGCCGAGCATCTGAGTTTTGATCATGTGACCATGGGGATGCTGCAAGGGTTGTAAGTGGGAAAAGCGGTCATGAGTCCCCCTTTTTTCAGGGATGTTGTAACTTTGAACGGTCACTAAATGAACTGTTGTAAGTCGGGGACTACCTATATTATTTTAAATCATTCCTACCACAGGTAGTCCTCAACGATCACAATTGAGCCCAAAATGTCTGCTGTTAAGTGAGACATTAGTTAAGTGAGTTTTAACCTTTCTTGCTACAGTTGTTAAATGAATCACTGAGGTTGATAAGTTAGTAACATAGTTGTTAAATGAATCTGGCTTCCCCGCTGACTTTGCTTGTCAGAAGGTTACAAAAGGGGATGACATGACCTTGGGATATAGAAATGGTCATAAGTATGAACCAGTTGCCAAGCATCTGAGTTTTGATCACAATATTGGGACGCTGCAGAAGTCGCAAGTGTGAAAAAAGGGTCATAAATCACTTTTTTCACTGCCACTTTGAATGGTCACTAAATGAACTGTTGTAAGTTGAGGATTACCTGTGTATTGTTTTGAAAACATGGGAAACAGCCTACTTCTGTAAGGTTGACTGCCGGTTGAGCAGGCCAGATAGCTGCCTGTATGCGGTGGTATTCCAGGAATAAAAACTATGTTCTGTACTGTTTTTCTCAGACTCCCAGATATAGTGCTCTGCTGGCTGTGAAAGCATGAAGACAACATGTAGCAAATATGAAAGTTTTCAAGAAAGGACTAACAAAAATAGTGCTATGTCAACCATGAGGTGGAAAATCGACATTCCTCATGGAAGCAATATTTTTAATTGTCTCACTGAACATTGATGAAATAGATGGTCATGTTTGTGTTTGCAAGAAGTTTTCATCAAGCAGGTAGATTTAAAACACAGGAAGGCAAGGGGAAGGGAATATCAAAGCATGTGTTGGGCTACATTTTTAGATGTAATGAAGACAGAACCTTCAAAATAATCTGATATAGAAACTTGAGCTTGATAGAAGAAATCAACCATAACTATATATAGAAAGAAGTTTGGGACAAATTAATTTTAGTTAAAATATTGTAAACATTGAAAATTGACATTAAAAAATAGAAAACTAGAAAAAGTTAGCAATGAGCAAATATAATAGTATAGTTAGTGCTGAATAGTACCTATGTAACCTAGAAATCATCAGGGAAATAGTCAAATAATTAAGAGGGGGAAAGTAATCCATTTTGATTCACAAATTAGAAAATTGAAAAGCAAGCCAGTGTTGCTATTATCCTGAAAGTTGTGTTCATAAGTGTGATACACATCACTTTTAGTTAATATGCTGTATAGTGCCATATCCTAAATTACATAAGTAGGCTGTTTTCCATATTTTCAAAACAATATAGTGGGAATGATATAAAATATTACTTTATCTCAGAATTTGGTTGGCCTTTTCATAATTACCTTGGTGGACAAATTATACACTTAAGCGCTTAAAATAAATTATTATTCCTTTTCAGTTTTGTGAAGAATTTAAAGAAAAAAGTCCAGTTTGTGTTCCTTGTGGATTGAAATTAGCAGAAAAATCCCAGACTGCAATTGTCAGGCATTTTGGTCTTCAGATCTTGGAGCATGTGGTGAAGTAAGAATTTTTAGTTCCAACAAGTGGTGTAATATTGCAAGTTCCCAGAGGTCCTTAGATTGATTTTATTAAGAAATTAGATTTGCATTAGTCTTATTATAATATAGCAATAGATGCAATTATATTATAATATAATTATAATAGTAGTATTACATGTGTACTTTATAACAAAGATGACCTGGTGACAGTTCATGCAAGGAAATCATATTCAGTATTTTGGTGTTAATGAAATAGCTTGCAGGCACTTGCCATAGGGCATAGTCCACTCCTCTCTCTGTAGTACTCACCCACCCTCCAGACTGCTTTTTACCACCTCCCACGCCCCCTAGGATTTGTGACTTCCAGATGGCTTTCCTATTGACTTTACTTGTGGGAAGGCAACAGGAAGTTACAGTTACATGAGATCCTTGCTGAACAACAATAATAGAGACTGCTAAGATTGCCATTACTAAGCAATGTGGTCACATGATATACTATAGCAGTTTATGACTGCATTGCTTACCAAGACCCAATTATTGTTGTTAAATGAGAACTGGCTTTGATTCTTTTAAAGGCTATCTATGCTGTTTTTGCTTTGGTACGGGAAAGTTGAGCTGGATAGGACAACATGAGAACAGAATCTCTCTCTTATCCCTAACCCTAACCATGTTATGAAAGTTTACTTATTATTAACCAGAATAACAGATTTGATGTCTGTGTTTTGGGGGGTTAGATTTCGATGGAATACTATGGGTCGATTTGACAAAGTCTTTTTGAAGAACAAGGTCATGGAACTAATATCCAATGTAAGTCTCACTTCTTCTTGAACTTAAGCTGCTAAATTTTATTTTAATGGTACAGTATTTTTCACAAAAATAAGATTCTAGTGTTTAAATCATTCTTTAGTTAAAGACCTTATAATTTGTTTTCTGGACAAAAGAGCTATTGTATTTATAGCTATTGTGATGAAAAGCTGCACTAGTCAGCTATTAAAGGGACTGCAAATTGTTTGTAGTGCAATACTCAAAAGCAAGGAGTAAAGCTTGTCTGAACAATATTGTTCGGACATGTAGTAAAGCAGACAATACCGTATGAGATTGGACTTTTACATTTGTCTGGATATAAATTGTCTGTCGCATTTAATACAGAAATTATCAAAATATTGTTTTTCTCGTTGTCCTACTTTATAAAATATTCCAAACTCTTAATAGTGTAGGATTCTGTTCTTACTTGATTTAATTTAAAGGGTTTTAAAAAAATTTATACTACCGTGTTTCCTCGAAAATAAGGGTCTTATTTTCTTTTGCCCCACGAAATAGTGGCCTTGGGCTTATTATAGGGGGAGGGTTTATTGTTTTGGGGGTTGCCAAGTAGCTGCTCCCTTACGAGTGGACTCCCGAAGAGCCGGGCACAGCCTCAGAGGCGAAGCAGCCATGAGGTGACCATACTCACGAGCAGCCGCCTGGCAAACCCCCTCTCCAGCTGGGCAGAGCGTCATTCACTGACCTAGGGGGTATTCCTAAGGTGCCAAGCCATGTGGCGCTCTTCCTCACCATGCCCTGGCCCAGCTCTCCCTGCAGGGCACCGCGGCGGCGGCGGCGGCGCTCCAAGCATAACTTCTCCTGCTTCCAAACTAACAAAACTCGGCTGCCGAGTCTTCGAGCAGCAGCCACTCTAGGAGTACGCTCTAAGGTTGTGGGCTGGTTGCTGGATGACTCTCTATCCATCACCGGCCCACAATTGGCAAGGCGTTAGTTTCAGGACAGGTCGTATTTTCGGGGAAACACAGTATATTTCTAAAAATAGGTCTGTGAGTATTGAATAATATAGTAGTCCTATCTTCCATTTTGTAATCTTTCAGTTTTTGATTAACAGGGTACCCAGAATATTTTAGAAGAAGAAAGTCACATTAAGGATGTTCTCTCTCGCATTGTGGTAGAGATGATCAAACGTGAATGGCCACAGCACTGGCCTGATTTGCTGAAGGAACTGGACACGCTGTCTGAAGAAGGGGTAGGGCATCTTACAGTGATATTACTATACCCTTTTTGGACTTGTTTTTGTAGGACAGATTGGCCACCCTACAGGGCATGAATATAATTTTATGATTTTCAGAAAGATCATGTCAAATAAATTTGTAAAAGTGAAAATATAATAAAAATATAGATTTGTGAGAACATCGACCTTGTAAAATATATATCCCATTTCTAATATTAATTTTTGTTATCCTTTAATAATGACGGTCATAGTATAGGTTGGGAATGGCATGGAGGCCTCAATCCTGTTCTAGAAGATAATTTTATTTGAGTTTATTGCACCTGATTATGTGCACAATCCTTTAGTATAATCTATAAGTGATCTTCTGAAAATTAAATGTTATTCCCAAGACAATGGGAATTGTTTCCTTAGTTTGTTTTGCTTTTCACTCTAGGAAACCCAGACAGAGTTAGTGATGTTCATACTTCTGCGCCTGGCAGAGGACGTGGTTACTTTCCAGACATTGCCAGTTCAAAGACGACGGGATATCCAGCAAACTCTTTCCCAAAATATGGAGAAAATTTTTAGTTTCTTGCTAAATGCACTACAGCAAAATGTTAATAAATACAGATGTGCGGTAAGAACATACCATTAGTTAGTAAGAGCTACATAGTCCCACATTTCAAGAATGTCAAAAATATGACAACATCATTGATAATGGTTGAATTGTGATGTGAAGTAGAGTAAAAAGAAATTGATCCTTGTGTCAGAAAGCATCACCTAGCCTTTGAAGAATAAAATGGAATGAAATAAAGACTCAATGATTATTTAAAAATCCACAGAGACCATTCTTTCATGTGTAGCTTATTGCTTTTATTTTATCTTTTAAAATAAATCCTGCAATAAATCAGTAAATGTTGAAAATTAGACCTTATGTACAAAAAGGGATGGACTAGCCTTAATTCTTGGCATGTTTAGAATGAGAAGTTGAATATTTTTCTTGGTTTATCATTCATGGATTGCTCACAGTAATTTATCATTTTGTAGAAGAACAATGAGTAATTTGATTATTTATGCACTCTTACCACATGTTTGCTTTATGGAACTCTTTCATAGCACTATGTTTATCTTGCCAATCATTGAATTGTTTTTCTCACGTATTACTGCATGAAAAACGAGCAAAGTAATACTTAACTTTCAGAACTGCAGATTCTGACAGAATTGCTGTTAAAACCTCAGAAGATAATTAACCTTGTTGACATTTGTCCATCTCATTTAAATATGCATTTGATTGCTAAAATTGGAAATACAGCTTTGTAAATATCCTGTAATTGTCTCCTATAAAAAGAGAATTAGGAGGTAATGTAATACCAAGAAACCATACTATGTTTCATAAATCATTCACTTTTTTTTTCTTTTCAGAAAATTGATGCAGCTCAAGAATCAAAAGTAAGTGAAACCAGGATTAATAAATACAAACATTTATCATGGTCATAATGCTTAGGATATAGTCATTCTTTTCCAAACATCTATTACCATTAATGCTAATATTCTTTTTTCATTGTTTTGTTGATTAAATCTCCTCTTGATAAATTCATAGTACATATGATAGACTATAAGGGACAGTGTTCATCAGAGTTCATAATTTTGCTTGGATACTGCTCCCACTGTATTTTCCCATGTAGAGCAGAATAGGTTATTTTTGGTAACCATGGACCACAATTAACATTTTGGAGTGATACTGAAGGTTGCAAAGAGAGTAATGCACCATACATGTGGATGTGATAGAATAGGGGAAGATCATTTTAATGGTAATTTGCCTATTTTAGGATTTAGAGTAATATTTTCCGTACTCCCCATTTCAGAAAGGCAGAAAACCATAATTACATTTCTCATCAATCAGAGGTGGGTTCCAGAAGCAACAAAAAGAAAGGTCAAGTCTGTGGGTTGGCCAGCCTAATTTCCAGCATCTAAAGGAAATAATATTTTCAGATTGCCCGAGGACTACTTTCACAGGAGCAAAAACATTAAATGTCGACAAGAGGGAAATGCATTTAACATTTTCACTGTGATTTAACAATAGGATTAAGACTTAAATTAGATGACATGTCTATAGATGGGTGATTCTGTAGACTCTTGTTGCTTCCCCTCCCCTCTCTAGGCACAAGCAAATTGTCGAGTAGGAATTGCAGCACTCAATACTCTGGCTGGTTATATTGACTGGGTGGCTATGAATCATATCACAGCAGATAACTGCAAGCTATTGGAGATGCTCTGCTTGCTTTTGAATGAACCAGAGCTTCAAATAGGAGCAGCAGAATGCCTCTTGATTGTGGTCAGCAGAAAGGTGAGTTTTTTCTGTCTTCTTCATAAGCATGTTTTGGGCATATACACTACATTACAAGATCGTCCAATGGAAGGCTGTAAAGTCCTTTCTTATTTATTATGAATGTCCTCCTATTTGGTATTTTGAACTATCCCTCTGGCAGTTAGGGTAGAAGCTAGTCATTGAAGAGAATTGCTCCAAAATTATTACCAATGTCCTGTTTCCAATCTTTGAGTGCTGGATGAGTTTTACTACTTCAATTTAATTTGCTGTTATTTATTGATGGAATCATTCCTAACATTTTAAATGATGAAAAGGCAGAATATTGAATTACATGTTCTGCTTTGAACAATCACCGTGAGAAGAAAACATTCAGTGTAATAATGCTAGCTAATACACTTCCAGTGGGTAATATTGTTTCTGAATAACGTGATGAAAAGTGTATGTATTTTAGGGAAAACTGGAGGACCGCAAGCCCTTAATGGTTTTGTTTGGGGATGTTGCCATGCACTATATTCTCTCTGCTGCCCAGTAAGTACTATTCTCTGCTGTTGTAAATGCATGAATGATTATGTGCTATCAAATAATTGTTGAATCATAGTGATTTTCTCAACAAGGATCTGTCCCTAACTTGGGGTTTTAAGTCTTCCAACAATAGTGGATGGAAGATATCAAATTACACACCAGTAAAATCAATTTTGTCAACAGGCCCCAATTAATTAGGGGAGGGGGGTTAGGCATGGAAATTAAGCAGGGTTCGGTCTGATTATTATTGAAAGGGAAAATAGGAGAATAGAATAGATTGGGAAGTCAAAAACATATCCTAGAACAATATAATGGCAAATGTATGAATATATCAATTAAATCATGAGGTGTCAGCTTGAAATTTTACATATTTCTTTATAAACAGTGTTATCTCATGTGTAAATGGTTCTTAATTATGTGGTAGAACCTACATCACTCCTACTTTTTTCTTTACTTTCCAGAACTGCAGATGGAGAAGGTTTGGTAGAAAAACAATATGTTTTCTTGAAGAGACTTTGCCAAGTATTATGTTCTTTGGGCAGCCAGCTGTGTGCATTAGTGGTGAGTGGTAATAACAAAAATTATCTCTTTTTGCTTTTTTTTACCAAACAGCCTGGTTTTCAAAAGATAATTGCTTTTTTGCCCAGTTTGGGAATGGTGTGGACTGGATGTTGGCAAACTGTAACTCCTGAGCCACATGCGGCTCTTTTACCTCTTTCCTGCAGCTTCCTGTCACTCCACCTGTACTTATATTTTTCAGCAGTTCCGACTGATCTCACCACTGGCTGGGCCCGCCTGTCTCCCCTTCCCTCCCAGTCACTACTTGCCTGACCTGAGAAGAGAAGAGACTTGCTCTTGGCCCCTATCACTCATCTTGTTGCTAGGAGCGAGTGGGGCAGGGTCGCATCGTGGATCCATGTCATAATGGAAGGAGGGGACCTATCTCACCCATTGTGAAGGGTGCTAAATTTTGCTGTGCTGCACAAGGCACTGCAAGAGCGCCTCATGGCCTGCCTGACACCTCATGGCCTCTGCCACATGGCCTATCCACTGCTCCCAAGAGCCTTGCATAGCACAATAAAATTTAGTATGTATCCCCAAACGTCCAAGGCACGCCCAGCACCAACAAAGGCTGGAAGTAGCTGCCCGCCATTTCCTGCTTTAGTCTGTTGGGCAGCGAGACCCCTGGATGAGATGCCAGAGAATCAGAATTGGAGAGGGAGGGAGGGAGAGACAGCTACTTGGTAACTGCCAAAAATTTATTGCATATTCTCAGTCTCCTAAGTCTGTGACAATCCCAGCACCTCTGGGAATTTCAATTTTAATGCATCCAGAGGAATCAGGTCTTGCATCTTCCCCTGTACTAAAGATTTGTTCTCTCTGCTTTAAAAAAAAGGGAAGTGAGCAAAAAAGGGAAATGCTGCTCTTAATTGTATGATTGAACACTCCAGACTTGAGTCTCCTGTCCACAGAAAGTTTCATGCCGGCAAAAAGCTTTTCTGCTGGTAACATCCTTGTCATCTAAATCATGTTTGGGTCCAAATTCATATTGCTATTCTTCTCTTAACAGGGTCCTGATTCTGATGTAGAAATACCTGTCAACTTGGGAAAATATCTTGAGTCATTTCTAGCTTTCACAACCCATCCCAGTCAGGTAAATAGATAGGGCTGAAGAGAAATAATTTCCAGTACTTAAATATAAAGATTAGTCGTATGTGGTATGTATTTGTGATGACCTTATGGATTACAAATATTTTAAAATGAATTCATTATTCCTTTCTGAGATGAAGAAAGGCTTCTTAAGCCAAAGTTACCATAGTCAAATACAACTGCATTAGTCTGTTTATTCAATTATAATATATTTGACATTTGGCCTTTCTTTTCTGAAGATCTAGAAAATGTTGTAGCATGTGATTGTCTGGTGCCTTGCACTACTAATATCTAACTTGTAATTGAAAGTGACTATGTATTTTAAGTAATATTTTTGGTGGGTTTTTTTTAGCAGATGCAAGAGAAATTATGTAGATTACATAGCTTTCTAGTTTTATGATAGTAATGTCTATCTAATAGATCCTTTAACTTTTTTATTTTCCTAGTTCTTACGTTCTTCTACCCAGATCACATGGGGTGCTCTTTTTCGTCATGAAGTCCTGTCGCGTGATCCTGTGTTGTTGGCTATTATCCCAAGTTATCTGCGGGCATGCATGACTAATCTAGTGAAGGTATGTTAAGAGTGTAATAAGATGTAAATATGAATGTTTGAAAAAAGAATAAGTTTTCAAACTGAATCATCTATTTTCTGAACCTCTTTCCTAGCAAGCTACCTTTAATATGACTGGATGATAGAAGAATCCTTTCCATTCAGTAAAATATGTTCCATCTACATTAATCTGTTTTAAGATCATTCTCTAAAGTCTTTATTTTACAATATATGTGTATAATGTTTTTACCTCTCATCTCATCCTTCTCTTTTTATAGTTGGGGTTTCCTTCAAAGACAGAATGCCCTAGTTGTGAATATTCTCGTTTTGATTTTGACAGTGATGAAGACTTCAATTGCTTCTTCAATTGTAAGTTGTTGTTTCAACAAAACCCAACTAAAAGATTTTCAATTTATTTTGATTTTAACAGCATTAATAGAATTTCATTCTTTCAGAGCAGAAAGCCATTGCAAAGTTCTGTTACACTTTCTATTTAAATTTTCCTTTGAAAGTAGATATTTTCAAGTATAGCTGAAAAAAATGTTTGAAGAAAGAATGAGTGTTCCTCCAGTCTATCCAATTTAATATTATCTATGGGCTTTTGTTTCACCAGCAGCATGGAATTTGCCAGAAACTGAGAGCAATCTATAAAACCATTCAAACAGTTTATTTTTGCAGGACAAACACTTCAAATTTCAGATTTTATATCCAAGTTGCTTACATGAGTAATTCTCAGTTATGGTAGCTGCAAGTCAGACTTTTATTGTTTTTCTTTGCCAGCTTTCCGTGCACAACAGGGAGACGTGATAAGGATGGCATGTCGGCTAGATCCTCACACTGGCTTCCAGATGGCTGGAGAATGGCTGAAATACCAATTGTCCCTTCCTCTGGATACTGAAACTGCAAATTGTAAGTTTCTTTAACAGGAGGGGGAAATGCTCAGTATTCAATAGTGGTGCACAACATAGTTTTGTTTGCTTTGCTCTAGCAGTTTCTCTTAATTGTTCCAAGTTAGACTTTCCATTTAGATGGGGATACTTGAAACATGATGATCATTCAGTGTTTGATTAAAATCCATACATTTCTCCAATTAATTATAATGTCATAATTACAGCTTTTTATAGTGAAAGCAGTTTTCCAGCAAAACCTATTTTTATTGTAAATGCATTCATTGTGACATTTTTTATGACAATCAGTTCTTGTTAAAAGCACAGTCTGATACTGTGAATGTTCTCAAGTTTTCTTAACTTTGTCTTCCTTGATAGCTAAAAGAAATAAAAGATCCTACTCCATTTTTTCTCCTTCCTTTGTGCATTGGGATGCTATGACCTTTTTCTTAGAAAGCATCGTTAGCCCGATGTTCCGAACCCTGGATAAAGAAGTACGTGCCCAAATTTTTGTCTTCTTTCAGTTATCCTTGACACAATGTGACTATATTGTCTCTTGATAAACATTCTGGGGAATACAAGCCTTTTAATTATATTTAGGTTATATTATTTGTAACATTTTCCATGGGAAAATTTTAATTATAAAATATTTAAAGCTTGTTGTGCTAATGACATTGTGAAGTCCTTGGTTTCTCTGAGCTTGGTTGTTTGCTTGCAGACATCATCAGGGATAGTTAACTTTGGCTTTGTTCCCTATTTATATACAGAAGCTTGACTTGCCAGTGTTGCTGGGCATGGGGCTTCCCCCCCCCCTTGGTAATTCCTTAATTAGGGCATTGTTTTCTGCTTAATTGTTTTTCTGGTGTTAATCCCTGCTTATCTGGGTGTTGGTTGCTGGAGAAGATGTGTTCATTTTGTTTCCTTTTTAGCCTTTTCATTGAATGGTGCCTAAATGTGGTTTATCTCTATGTCTCTACTGATGACTTAGTCATGTGATGACCTGTCTGTATCCTTTGATAGCTTAGATATATAGAGATAAACCAACAAGAGTTAATCCCAGTAAACAGGAATTAATACCAGAAAAACAATGCACTACACCAGACCTTCATTTATCCTTGCACACCTTCCTCAGACCCCACCAAAAGCCTTACACCACACTGGATCCTTGCATCTTCTCCCCTGATCCACAGCAGCCTCTGAAATCTTTTCTACTCTCTTATCATACCACATCAGACTTCATGTACCCATCTCTATCCTCCCCCTATCTTTTTGTGCCTCCCAGAGCCTCATTACATAGATATAGCCAACAAATGAACTTTCGTGTGTTTTGAAGAATTCTGGGTGCCTTAGATTTTAAGGCTTAAATCTTAACAGCTGTGTAAGGCACCCCCTCTACTTTCTGTTAAAACTGTCCAGTTAGAATTAGTCAGACCTGTGAGTTTTTTCTGATTAATACTGATATTGTATGAAGCAAAAAAATACATGATCACTGTCCATTTTCTTCCTATTCCAGAAAATCCCAGTTTCTCAAGGCATAGAACTATTGCAATGTGTCCTTGGCTTTGAAACAAAAGACCCCCTGATTCTGTCCTGCATCCTTTCTAATGTCTCAGCACTCTTTCCATTTGTTACGTACAGACCAGAATACCTGCCAGAAGTTATTGTTAAGGTAAATTTTCTATTACAGTCAGTAAACATTGGGCTAACTTATAATATGGGACTCAATTTCATTTGTGGGTGCAGAACTTTAAATATACAATTTCTTGGGTAATAAAGAAGTAGCTATTTTAATTCTACACGTAGACCATGTTCCATACGACACATTTATGTTTTTCAACATTCTAGGATAGGGAAAGGGTTTTTTGAATATATACTGGAGAACTGAAAAGGAAAGAATCCCTGTAGCCAATGTTGTAATCGACTGATTATTTTATCTGAGGTTCAAGTCCAGGTGCTGGTTTTTAAATGGTACTGTGTTCATATTTGATTTACAGTACATGACTGATTTTCCCAATGTGTTCCTGTGTCCTGCCACAGGCACAGAGAGGGACTTTGTATGCTTAATGACATATGAAATTGTTTAATGACTGCAACAGGAGGTGCTGGAATTGCAATGCTGGAATTGGAGGTCCGATAAGTCCGAAGCGAACCGAGCAATGGTAACCACCTGCACCAAGGAATACACCAGGGCACTTAGGGCTGCAAAAAGATCCCATATAGCCACTTTGGTTGCATCCGCTGAGTCTTGCCCAGCCGCCCTGTTTAGGATAACCCGCCCCCTCCTGAACAAAAGGGAAGCGGGGGAACCCTTGCAGGGCAGAGCCGAAGAGTATGCCCAATTCT